AAATTTTTCTTATCTTAAAATGTATTTCAGATAGATAATCATTTCTCTGCACAACCCCCACCCTTTCATCCCACTTCTGGTGTATTTCTTATGCTTCTTCAAGAATGAGCCTTTGTTCAAATGTTAGTGCTCATGGAGGATTACTGCATATGGAGGATGTGTCACCTACATATTGGTGGAGGTATATGGTCTAATGACATATGTTAGTATGTTTAAGGGTGGAAGTTTCATTCAAGGCTTATGCCATGTCGAAAAATATTGCAGTGGCATGAGATAATATCTGTTTGTTCTACATAGAGATAAGTATTTATCTGAAATACATTTTCAAGTAAGGAAAATGTGAACTTTAACAGCATTGATATTTTTCTTGCAAATATCAAAATATTGCAAATAATAAATATTAAGTTTCTTTTTTAGGTATTCCATTTAGTCAACAAGGTATTTTTCCTTATAATATTGTGAAAATGTTTGAAAACTTGAGAAAATACTGAAAAATGCATAACCCTTTCACTGCTCAGGAAAACCACACCCCATCTAAAAAAAATTATTTTACCTTATGAAATCATAGTATAGCATGCAAACGTAAAGAATAAACACCAAAAGTTCGAAATTGACCTCTGTGAAAGCCTGTTGGTGTACTGAATGAGGAGGGAGCACGGAATTAGTCGGGTCTGAAGTAACTTTCACTGACTTTGAGATAAGATGGGAGGGTGATATCGAGGACTTGTTTGTTTGTTTTTTCCAGTTGTGGTACCATATTCTCTTATCTCATGCACTGACACAGCATTGGTCATGAATAACACTATATTGTACAAATATTACGCTTAGCATACTAATATAAATCACCAAAACTACTGTAACATTGTCTAATATTTACACTATGTACATTTTTCTCACTATGTAGAAGCATGAGAGGTGACATCTATAGGTCACTGGTACAACCAAATATTAGCTGGGATTTCAAATGATGGCAGGAAAACGTAAAATATCATATGATGCGCGAAACAGTGAAAGGGTTTAGAAACCTACATCATTGTCAGATTTATAAACACAGTAAATAGTCAATGACAGCTACTAAGGGTTAATCACACTTTATAACAATAATTTTAAGGTCCCTTTATGTTCCTTTAACAACTTCCTCCATTTTATAAAGAAAAACAGCCAGTACCCAAAGAAAATTCTTCAATTCCTCAACATTTCACCATACAGTTTTATAAGGAGGTAAACATCCTACATAACACAAACCCAGTCTTAACAGAACAAAACAGCTGATGTAATTTATAATAACAACAATGCATTATTATTTATTGTCCCACATGCAATCATATAATAAACAATGAAAAGGTAACAGTTTTAAAGGAGTATTTTCTTCACCATTATTACATTCTCGTAAATGTATTACAAGAAATCATGGTGAAGAAAATATTAATTTAAAAACAAAAAGAAAAGATGACTTGTGAACATTCAAGCATAATAAATATGCACATGTAAACAATAAATGTAGTTAAAAACCACATATATTCATTATACATAGACATAAATCAACCATTTAAAGTGACAAACATCTATCCTTGTTGATTGGAGTCTTCTCAGATCTGATGAGAAGGGACTCCTTGTACTTCCTTTCCATGTAACCGTTGTATTTGTTTTCTATTTTAATACTAAAAGTGTGATCAGATTTATTTACACTGTGTTCATTAATAAACTGTGCTGCAACTGCACGTCTGTCAATTTCACTCATCATGGTAGCAGAGAGATTTTTAGTGCAACACGTGGGCCTCAGTTTCTCCAATATATTTTTGTTACAAATCCCCACAAGAGATACTATAAACTACATCTTTCTTCACACATTTCTTCAGAACTCTCAGATTACATGCTATACAGTTTTTTTTCTGACAATTATCATAGGGCTTAAATGTTGAGCACATTAAATGATACTTAAGCGAATGTTCAAGCTGTCTTATCATGTGTATAAGCATACCCGATTCCTTCAGATCATTCTTAATGACATTATTAACCCTAGGACTAATAAAGGGTATTAGAAATGCAACAATTTCTTCCTGACTCCTGATCTTTGTCATGAATAGTGAAAATTTTGTAACCAATCTTTCATGATAACCATTCAATTTTAAAATCTCCCATAAATCTACCCTTGCCTCCATTAAATCACCAGAGTTGCTACAAATACATAAAAATTTTGTTAATTGACTAAAAATCGTAGCTTTATTCATGACCCATGGATGATGAGAGAATATGTAGAAGTAGCAGCTTTTTGAGATTTTTTTTTTACATATGTTACTAACCACCTTACTTTCCAATACAGCCTTAGAAGTGTCTATCAATTGTAAGTGCTCACCAGGTAGAGCATATTTGAAAGTAAACCTAATATTTTCATGAACCTGGTTTAGAAACTGATGAAAGTGAATCAAGATTTTCAAACCATCATTCCAAATCCTATATATATCATCAAAAAATGAGGCCAGAGGGCAAGTGTCTGGTCATGAGTTGCTTTAGTCTCAATGGTATGCATTAAAATTACAGCGAAGACTACAGACACCCTATTACTGGAGGCTACTCCTTGAATCTGACAGTAAGTCTGTTCTCTAAACCCAAAAACATTATTCCATAAAACAAAATACAGGAGTCTGCAACATCAGGTAGGGAGACCCACATTAGTATTATTTTGATCCAAAAAGGACGTAACAGTGTCAATTACTTCATGGATTGGAATGGATGAGTATAGAGCACATACATCAAAATAATTTTGTTATTGATTTTATCATTACTGGAGCTCAGTTTGTTAATGAAATCAAATGTGCTAGTTAGATGTGATAGAATAAATTGCAATAGAGGATGGGGGATTTTTTCTAGCAATCAGAAAGTTTTTTCTGTGGGTGAACCAAAGGCTGAGACAATAGGTCTAAGCAGTATGTCAGATTTATGGTCCTTTGGCCATGAAATCCAAATGTTCTATTATTCTTAGTTTTAAATGGAATAAGCACTTTAGAAAATCTTTGATACCAGGTACTTTGTATTCTGATGACCATGTAGACACTTAGAAAAAGAGTTATCTTCGAGTTGATGTAAATAATGCCATTGGATTTAATCAAGTTACCCTTACAATGGCAGACCATCCCAGCACCACACATCGGTGGACTGTATTACTACTTGTACCTCACCCAGCAGTACCACTACATAAACTTGTATTACCTTCTGATTGTCCACATCCTGTTCCACCAGCAAATTTGGAAGATGCTGGACATCACCTAAGATTTTTTGAGACAAGAAATTAGGAGCATTATTGCTAAGTTTTTAGGTTACAGTAACAAACCTAAATTGAGTCAAATCAAGACCAGCTGTTTGTAAACTGAAGGAGATTCACTTTTACATAAAGATAAAACAGCTGTTTGTAAACTAAAGGAGACTCACTCTCTGTTTAGATAAACAACAGTTTGTACACTGAAGGAAAGTAAGTTTTTAGGTTACAGTAACAAACCTAAATTGACTCAAATCAAGACCAGTGTACTAAAGGAACTTGGAACAAAGTACTGATCTAGTAATTAATGTTTCTGATAGGAGTGGTGGATTGGTTATTATGGATAAGGGCAACTATCTGAACAAAACTATGGTCCATTTTAATGATTGCAATACCTATGAATGCTTGGATTCTAACCGTATATGAAAAATTGAAAGGGCAGGTAATAATCTCCTTATGGCACTGGCATAGTTTCATTAGATCCAAAGTTATTTTGTGGTCTTAAATTTTATCATAGTAGAACATCTAAGTTTTATGGTCTACCAAAGGACCACACATTCAACATACTGTTTAGACCTGTTGTCTCAGCCTTTGGATGGTAAGACGACTGGAAACATACATAAAAAAAAAAAGTTGCTACTTCTATTTTTTTTTCTCATCACCTATGGGTCATGAAGAGGCCTATGATTTTTAGCAGTTAATGAGAATTTCACAAATTTGTAATAACGCTGGTGATTTAATAGAGGCAGAGGTAAATCTTAAGGAGATTTTAAAATTGAATGGTTATCCTGAAGGATTGGTTAACACAATTTTCACCATTCATGAAAACAAAGGTAAAATAACAGGAGTCAGGAAGAAATTGTTGCATTTCTAGCATCTTTTATTAGTCCTAGGGTTAAGAATTTCATTTCAGGCAACATATTTTGATAAACTTTCCACTGTGTGTGGATATTGGCTCTCAAGAGTAGATTTAAGTAGACCAAAGTCAATTGAGCTGCACCAGGGGACTTGAATGCATGTGATTGAGTAGGATTGCTATAATTCTGATTTCTTTGACCATCTTTCACATGAAAACAGCCATGTATTTTGAAGTGTGGCTGGAATCTTATATTGTTTTGTCTTGTTAACTTTTGTCATATTCAAATCATTGTTTGTTATCTTGTTACTAGTGCAAAGAAATTTTTCCAGTTTCATTGTAGTGGCTTATTTGGTTAGAAGGTTCTATTTCATAACTATGGCTTTCAACTTGCAGAGAAGGGCATTCTTTCAGATGAGCTTAGGGTGTGGTATTGGAGTCTGGTTCTGTCCTAAATGTTTCCTCTGGTATCTAAGCATTTCTGTCTCTATGAAGATTATTGAAGGCTCTATATACTTTTAACATTTTGCTGTAAGAATTAACTTTCTCAAAAAGACCATTGACATATACCACTAGTCATAAATTTACTTCCAGTGGCTTTACATTGTTTAATGATTAGGAACTTTCAATGAATCAAATATGCAGGTGTTTAACATGTTTCCTGTGGTTCCAGACTCGCATCTACAGCAATGTGCCCCTTCATTATCATTTTTATAAAGTGTGATTAACCCTATGCAGACAATAAGCGTGTTGATCGTCTTAATATAACATGTTAATTTTGTTTGTCACAAACATTAACTAGATTATATGTGATAAAGAAGGATTCTTAAAATAGATTTTGTATTTGATTTCTTTAATAAAATGTTTGTGATGCTTTTTATAACATAGGGTTCACCGACTGCTGATACTTTACCTTCTGCGGATCTGTTGACACAAGCGATGTCTGAACTCACTCAGTCACTGAATGAATACAGGCCTGCAGGATCAGAATATCTCACAGCTCGCATCTCTCAGTCAAGCCCTACAACCTTGATCATCCCCTCCAATGTTCAGTGTTCACAACCTGCCACACTTATCAGCTCTACAGCAGTCGTAGCAACACACACATATACTGATACATCAGTAATAACACCAATTACAGCAGAAACTACCTCTTCAGCAGATGAACCACAAACAATCACAACAGCAGTGTTAGATCATGTCCAGCTGGCACAGCTTCTTGCCCAATATCAACAACAACCATTCAGGTTTGACTGCAGTAAAATGTATTATAATATATGTATTGTATACATGTCCTTTTCTAGATGATTATTAGTATGAGTATCTAAAGAGTAATGATACACTTGAACTTTCATGTCTAATTTATGAAAATTATTTTGATTAGCATAGGTTTATCTTTGATTTGTCTTAAAAGAACAGTATTTTATATTTTAAGTTATTATTCACATTTAGGGCAACTCAAGTAATACTTGGTTCTTTGGTGTAATCAAACTTAAAAAGGAAAAATAGATATTTTCTTAGTGTGTGTGGCACAGATTAAAGTGAAAGAAAAAAGCATTTGAATGAAGTTCAAAATTGCTGATTTATTGCAAAAAGGCATTATGAATTATATCAAAGAGTTTAGTGTTTATAACCGGTATCACTTATTAGAAAAACAAAAACTATTTTGCTTTTCCTGTTAAATAGTTCAAAAGGTAGACTTGGATGGTGATGGAAAATACTGAGAGTTTGGTTTTATTGTTTAACTAGAAAGGAGAATTATAATAAATTATAATAAAGTAGATTTACTCTTTACAAGTTCATTTAAACTACAAACATTATTTTAAAACAAATGTTTTATTTACCCAATTATTATGTTTCCTCGGTTGTTTTATTTCCTAATAACAGTTTTGCTAGACATGTTTTTAGCTTGAAATTATGTGAATAATACTAACATTGTCTTGAGTTGATTGGAAATTGAGACAACAAGTTTTGTGATTAAGAATGTTGATTATTTTATAGGTAGGTCATAACCACAAAAAAAAGCTAATATTTATTATTATTTCTTAAATCATTGTTTATATATAACTAGTATCCTGGCCACATTGCTTCGTAATCCTTCAACTCAGACTGTCACATCAACAACTGCTGTCACCACGGATACAGTCACCACCACAACTTGTAATATCAACAATCCTCGCACCTGGCCAGCAACCACAGCAACATTCACAGAATATCCAGCTCGCTGAAAACAAGTTTAAAAATAATAGGTTTATAGATTATCGTTTACATAATTGAAGCATTCAGAGACTGCTTCAATCCCCAGAGTGCTTGTTGAATAGATGAGTACAATTTTGTATGGACTGTTTTTCTGTAAACATTGATCTTAATACAAAGAAAGAATATGTCACTTTCTCATCATGAAGTGTCAGATCTGGTCACATGGTTTCTCCACTATTAAATTTTATAAGATAAAAGCTTGTCTTAGCATATCTAAAATGAAACTAAGCTGTTATAGTACTGGATTGCATTTAGAGAGCCAGTCAGATCTGATACCTGTGATACAAGAAAGAAAGCTTTCCAAGAAGGCATTATGTAAGATATCTTTTTGTTCTTGTCAGAATAATTTAAAGGAAAAGTCCCTTTATTATAAAATTGTTTTTGATCTTGTTCTATAAGCTGGAACAATGCAGATGTTTTTAGTGTTTTAAATTTTGAAAGTTATATATGTAATAGTGCAAGAATCTAAATTTAGGATGTTTTCTTCATTTAAACAAATAATTTTTGTCTTGGTTCCTTTTGCCCCAGAAATTTGGACGTAGGTGATATTTTTAATATTGCCTGGAAAGGATGTTGTGCATTACTGTAATATAGTTTGGTAGCTTTTTTGATTAAAATATATGTAATTAAATCTACAGTACTTTATAAATTTCAAGACTTATATTACAGAAACAGTTCTTTTTGACTGCATTAACATTTTATTGAAGATGCTTTGTATTTCAGATATTGACCATTCCATGCATTGGCCTAAAAATTTGTCTTATAATATATATATATATTCTAATGGAACATTTTGTTGCCAGTTGTGTAGAACAAAATGTACATATGTATCATTCCATTAATCCTATTTTGAGTTTTTTTTCTGTATATATGTAACCAGTTTGCAGACCCGTTAATATATCCTCTTAAATATTTTTAGAAAGCTTATTACAGCTAAGGAGGTGTTTGTGTATATATCAGTGAACATCAAAGATGTCATTATTAAAAGTAAAAGATAAACATGGCAGTAAAAGTTGTTCTCCAAACTAGTTTGAATTTGAAAATTAATGTATCTATGTGCAAGTATAGTCCCTAAATACATCTTATCACAATTTTTTTTCTAACAATATATTTTCCAAGCAGAAATTGAATGAGACACAGCATTGAAAATATTTTTATGTACCATGTTGTTTCCTAAGTACATAGACAGTAAGTTGCATTGGTTACATGTATTTATTACTTGCTAAGCAAGAACTATAAAATTTTATGTATGTAAACTGTTGGACTGGGACAGGCACCACTGCTTCTGTAGGTTAGTTTTACACTTATTTTATTCACAGCAAACACGTATGTTGAGAACTGATTATAACATGGCTCATATTTTGATGGGTATACAGGATAATGTTTTTATTTATATGCATACTTAACAATAAACCAATATAGTACATGTGCAGTAACTCTTGAGGAATCTGAAATATGTGTGAACAAGTTTAATGAACATTATAATTTACATGTTGCAATAAACTGACAAAAATTTCATGATTTATTAAATTTATTGTTCTAAGATCAAATTTATAACTACACAGTACTAATACTTGGTAAGAAGTATGAAACACTATGCATTACTGATACAAGTGAGAGGAACCCTCTAATTAATTGTTGTTGTTTTTTCACAAGATTCAAATACTTCTTAATAAAAATAATAATGTTAAAAACCTGTGGATATAACAGAGAGAGTGAATGTATAATAGACTGCAAAGAAAGCTTACCAAAGTTAAACAATGAAAACAGTGAGGCTCTCTGTGTGTTGTAAAAGTCTACCACCGCATAACAAAAAAGAATTATTGAAAGGCATACATAAAACAACATCACCCAAAGTAGTAATAAACTGTTAAACGAAGCAACAAAACCTTGTGAATGTTCTGCTATTGATATTTTTATACAGAAAAGAAAGTTTTGTTTTTTATTGGTAAAGTATACCTTCTCAACCATTTTTACTTACTTAAACAAGAAAAAACTGTAGCTATCAGTTAATGTTTTTGTATATATATAATTGCATATAATTCTCATTAGTATTTGTTTATTTCTTTTATGTATAAGTATTGGAACCTAGTATTGACTATGGACCATTTTTTATTTTTCTATTTTCTAACCTGGTGTTCTTTGTAGGTGTTTAGATATTTATGCCTACATTACCAAGTATCCATTAGTATTATATTTAAGATTAGTTGTTCATTAAAACTAATGGCAGCTCAATCTAGTTTTTGTCAGAAGCTACTACAAAATAATCTCTTCAAAAAGAACTGTAACTGTATTTTAAAGATATTTCTTGAAGATTAGCAAAGAAAATTAGAGTTGGAAGTTTCAGTAGCTGATAGAGATGTCAAGTTACACTTGACATTAATGATGTGTTTGTGTAGACTTGAGTTACTATTTGTGTTTACATTCATGCAAAACGTTAAAATATATATATATTATTTAACAATGCTCTTGAGGAACTGACATGTGAATGATTTATCAAATGCTGATTGTTTTGGCACACTTGAGTTTCACTTGAATAAGTAAACATTTTTCTTTATATTTTTTTATCAGCTAAAATTACAAAATATTTTAACTATTTCTGTGATTAATATAACTGGTAAAGTTTGGGCACATTTTCCTTTAGTAGTGTCACATAAACACGTAGATATTTTTGGAAGCTTTTTTACATTCCTTCATATGGTAAAATTACTAGAAAGCATGTAATCAATATTTTTTGTTTAGGACATATTAATGCATTGTAGAGCTGTAATTTTCTTCACAAATGAAAAGAAATAAAAAATCTTGAGATAAGTTCCAACTTTGGTTCTTTTTTTCCTGTCTGAAAAAAAAGTACATAGATAAAATGTCTTAAAGTCAAATTTCCAAATTTATATACTAAGCCTTACCTTTCTCTTATGCTTACAATTATAGTGGCATCTGATGGTGATGAAGTCATTCATAGAGCATTCTAGCAATAGTTTGTTAGTCTATTTTTTGGGTAAGGACAAATACCAATGATAAAGTTTATGAAATAGCTTTCTTTCAGATAACTTATTTAATGCCATTATAAAATGGTAACAGGATTGTTTATTGTTTGATTTTGTACTTAAGTTGAAGATATTCAAATATTTACTTTTTAATTTTATTTCCTTCCTACACTTAAATTTCTCCTCTTTAATCACAAAGAAAATCTCTAGAAAGATACAAGTTTCTATTCATGACCATTTATTAAATCATCTAATTTCTAAATGCTTCTTATAGCTATTGTTATGAGTTGAAGAAAACTTGTTTTTTTCCCTGAAGAAACTAGTTTTCTTCTGAATTGCAGATTTTACATGAAAAACAAGAAAACATAATTATCTAAGAGAATAAGATAACAGTGATTCTTATCTCAATGTTCTTGTTCTAAAGATTTTTCATTTTGTAAGTGACATCAAAAAGTTTCTCATTCAAAAATGGAGGATACTAGTTACCCCTAACAAGTAAACGTATTCAATAATTATGCATTACACTATCATTCGGTTTATAGTCCCAAACTCAAAAATATAGTTGCCACATAGTTTATATAACCCATAAAGTTCTCCTACTCCTTTTTAAGAAACTATTCGCATATAAAGTCCTAAGGTTTCCCCAATCTCACCAGATAAATCTACCGTGATTTATTGTAGTTTTTCCAATAAGTAAAAATAATCATGTAAGAAATCTATAGGAAAATGTACTGTTAATGAAATTCAGACAAATTACAATTGTTACATTAGATGATTCAAAGCAAGAGTTTCAAAATAAATAGCCACATTCTTAATTTTCAAATAAATGGTTTTATCAATAAATGATGAAGAATGCATCATTTTCTTTTCACAAGAACTCGTTTTTAATGATATTTTCAAGGAGTTCATGTCATAAATTGTACTTCTGTGTAGCCTATAATTACAAATTTAAAGTGACTGCCAGATGACCAGCAAAAAATGTTTTACTTGTTATTAACATTGCATTCGTAAATGTTTATTATTGTACTAAGAGTTTGATTTAAAATATACTATTGTTGTGTATCTGCTTGTTTGTTAATTTCCCGTAGAAATTCTTTCTGAGAAACCTCAGCAATACAAGTCCTTTCTTAATTAAAACTAGTTTATTCTTTCTCGATACAACTTTGCAATACACAAACTTTACTTACGGTGCCTACTGTTCGCTTGACTCAATTCTCTCTATCTTCAATCTGTCTGCCTTTATATACTAAAAAAGAGGGTGTCAAGCAAACGCTGGGACATTTGTGAGGTTCTCCGATAAGTCACGATCCTTCTAGAAACTCCAGTGTGCATCACTTCTGCTATCGTAACACTGCCCCTTCCTTAGTATTGTTTGTCCTGAACAATAGCCACTTACATTAAACCAATAGATAATTAACAATAACTTAATTAAATGTACAGAATTTACAAACACAAAATTAAAATTCAACAAAGTATATTAATTTTACAGGACGTATCTTCTTCCATACTGGTCTCCGTCTCATTGGCTTCTACTTCATTTGGGGTTTATCTGCTTCATCAGGAAATGTCCTATTATCGGTAACAGTCACATCAGTGGTAGTAACTTCATTAAGGGTTTCACTGTTTTCCTTCTCAAAACCAGGTAGAGTTTCTTCTTTGACAGTAGCTTTTTTTCAGGTGAAACGTCTTCAGCAGCGTATTTTGTTCCATTGTTCACTTCGTTCCAACTGAAATGTCCTAGACCATTTTGGCATGCATCACCTTTGACTTACTGCGCCGACCACATTTTATTTGGAAAGTCATGTCTGAGAGACGATCCACTATGTCATATGGGCCTTCCCATGGAGAAGACAACTTAGGAGACTTCCTTTTGGTCTTCCTGGGATTATACAACCACACCTTGTCTCCTGGTACAAAGATGACTTTAGTAGATCTCTTATCATAACATAGCTTCATGGTATCAGCAGACGTTTTCAAGTTTGAACGCACTAGATGGAGAATATCATCCATCCTTTCCGATAACA